TCGATACGCCATATAGCAGTCTCAAAAGATTCGACTAATTGCACGTCTTCTTTGTTTCTTTTACTATCAGTTTGTGTTCCTTCTCCCTTTAATGTTTCTCATGGCATTTTCACAATCGTCCCCAGGTTCTTGGTTCGTCAACTCAGTTATTTTTGGAACTGATGCTTTTTAGTTATTTGAGTCGTCATATCTCCAGAACTGCTTATGTAAAAACCAAAGGTTGGACTGTATGGACCACTAAGGAAGCTAGAAGTCCTTATGGGGTAGGTCTATGGAAAACAATCAGGAGCCAGTGGCCTAAAGTGTGGGAAAATTCAAGAATTGAAATAGGAAACGGAAGGAGGATATCATTCTGGGTTTGAGTCGTCATATCTCCAGAACTGCTTATGTAAAAACCAAAGTTTGGACTGTATGAATCGCTAAGGAAGCTAGAAGTCCTTATGGGGTAGGTCTATGGAAAACAATCAGGAGCCCTAAAGTATGGGGAAATTCAAGAATTGAAATAGGAAACGGAAGGAGGATATTATTCTGGAATGATGTGTGGGTTGGTCAATACCCCTTGAAACAGTTGTACCCTGTGATCTATAATCTGAACCAACAGAAGGAGGCAGCAGTAGCAGATGTCAGGGAGAACCAAGGATGGACCCTCCCTTTCAGAAGAATTTTGAATGACTGGGAGATAGACAACCTAACAGATTTCTTTAATTCATTGGTGCAGGCCAATAACCTTAACACAAATGAAGACAGGCTACGATGGTTGAGGGCAAAAAATTGGAAATTCACAGTAAAATCAGCTTACAGACACCTTGATAGGCCAGCTGCAATGCTCTTACCATGGCCTTGGAAGATGATATGAAAAGTTAAATACATCACAAGGTGGCTTGTTTCACCTGGTTTGTAGCCATGCAAGCAGTACTAACTCAGGACAATTTAATGAAAAGAGGAAGGCAATTATGTTCCAGGTGCTTTTTATGAAAGAGAAACTGAGCCAACAAACCATCTCTTCATCCATTGTAGAGTGACAGAAACTGTGGCAAGTGTTTTTTAACTTGAGGGTTTGGTTCATGCCAAGGCATACATCAGAAGCCCTAACAGGCTGGAATAGAGAAGGAAATATGTCAGGCCACAAGGAGAGCTGGAAGATAGTCTCTGATTGCATCTGGTGGACAATATGGAAGGAAAGGAATCAGGAATGTTTTGAAAACAAGAGCATCCCTTTCCCGAGCTTGAAATTGAATTGCCTTATAACCTTTTATTTTTGGTGTAACTATGTCCTCCCCAGAAAGGTGGAGGATATTGCTCACTTTTTAGACGGTTTATGAGGGGTATAGGTGATAGATATATTTGGTTTTGTTTACTGTAAACTCCTGATGTAATTACTACTGAAATACAGAATTGGTGTATTTTGTCTATAAAATGTTAACTTTCTCAAAAAAATCTCCATTGGCATTGAGTCCATTTAATTGTGGCTAACCATATTTAAATGATTTTGTTTGAGTAGCTGGGCTTAAGTAAGTAAAACTGGGTCTGTTTGTGATAATATCAATTTATTTCGTTCTTTATTTGTTGTTGTCTGGTGGACTAATCCAGAGCCAGACTCTAACAGAAGTGGGAGGGGGTTGTATTTGAAATTTGGCACTTGTTTTGAATCGTAATTTCTATATTACAGTTGTTTTCCTTACTCTCTTCCATATAGGACTTTATTGTCCATTCGTCCTTTGTCACCACTGCTTCATCTCCTCCGGGGAACACCTTGGTGATTCACACCAGAGAGGTATAATGAAGTAAGACCTTGATCTACTGTCTTCACCTCCTTCGGAACTCCTTCTACATCTCCTTGGGTTTTATTCTCTCTCATTTTAGATGGTTTTTTAATGAGGTCTCCTCATCTGTTTCCAGCCATCCTCTACAATGATTGCCGCTGGCTTTGAAGATTTGTTTTCCGTCCAGAGCTGGAGTGGAAGACCCATAGCTCTAATCAATGTTCGTTGACTAAATAAGCAGCAGCCGACAGTCGGTGACCACCATTCCAGATGAATCTTCACCCGCTTCCACCACCACTCCCCCTGCAAGATGTGTTCCGCCATATATATATTTGGAAACTCAAACAGAAAACGACAGCCACCCATCTCATACATGTTTACCCCAAAGACATTCTTTCAAGTACTAACAGACCACTTTCAGATATCTGCTAGCATTGGTTTCTCCTTCAAATATTCGCTGAAGCTGCCCACCACACACCTTTCCAGAAATCCATTCACAAGATTCTCAGCTCCTCCAGATATGTTGCGCGTGTTGATTCGAGTATCAGCAGATTCCTTTGTCAGCCATTTACTAGCTCTGACATAATCTGCATAAGGAATCTTTCGATAATAAAGGCCCCTTTGTATTGTTTAATGAAGTTCTCATTCTTAAATGTGATGCCACTCTACCCTGCATGGAACGTAACCTCTGGAATAATTATAACCTGTCTATTTTCCCCTTGTCCAGTCACTATGCTTATAAATCTTCCAAATTTGTTATGTTTCCTTGAGCAACAGAAGCTTATTTCTCACTTAGCTTCCATCTTCTAATGTGTGGACCAGAATCCTTTGATGCCACCCATAAAACGAAAACCAGCCACTCCATGGTTTTCCTACTGAAAGTAGTTCTACGCATCAAATATCAGCTTCAGCTCTGGGAATGAGCCTGGTAATATCACATGACTTAAAACCCACAGCAAAAATAAATCATATTCTCACTCATGTTAAGCTACTACTGCTTTTAGATTAATCACTAATAAATGATTAGTAAAAACTACTAAAACTGCCGGAAAAATTTCAGAGATCACTGGAGAAAAAGATATTTCTCCTGACCTCCAGAAACTTGCCTGAGAGAATTTCTCGCTTGAGTTCAATACAGTATCCCCAAAATTGCATTTCCATGCAGAAGTAAATAATAGAACTTTTTAAAAGCAATTGAGAGATCCCAAGAGTTACTGATCTCTTTGGTAAACTCGAAGGTTTCTCAGGTCTAAAGGAGGAGGAGGATTCTCTCACTTGGATAGGTGACACCAAGTCTGTTTTCTCTGTCAAAACAGCTTACAACTACTTAATGGATTTGGAGCAGTTCAATGACCAATGGCCATGGAAAGAGATATGGAAAGCAAGAGCTCCTTTCAAAGTGGCTTGCTTTATTTGGCTAGTTGTTTGGAAAGCCTGTCTCACTCATGATTAACTTCAAAGAAGGTTTTCGTCTATGTTCTAGGTGTTTTCTATGTCATCAGGAAGCTGAAACCAATGGGCATCTTTTCTTGCATTGTTCAATTACCAGACAACTATGGCAACTTTTTGCAGCATTAGCTCAAATTGTTTGGGTGATTCCCCAGAGTACGTTTGACCTAATATGAAGTTGGAACAATATACAAGGAGAAACTTGTCACAAAGAGTGGTGGAAGATTGTTCCAGCTTGCATATGGTGGACAATTTGGAAAGACAGGAATGCAAGATGTTTTGAAGGCAGGTGCAGTTCAATCCAGAAGATCAAGAGCTCCTGCATTTCTCTTCTTTATTTTTGGTGTAAAGAGAAGTAAGTTGAAGATGTTGAATCATTACTAGACTTTATGGCCTCTTTGTAAGTTCTGTTTGAGGCTGTATCTGTAGATATGATATACCAGGCCTTTTTTTAGGGTGCTGATGAATATAACATGTTACCAATTTCAAAAAAATCTCCCAGGAAAGTGGTGCAAGATATCTCCTTTGAGGTAAAATGTTCCACTTGTTCAATGAAAGGTGTGGACAAAAGTATAATGCAAAAGGGAATCCTTTGAAGATGCACCCAAGGGTGTGACCAAGTGATTAGTGAAGTTGGTTGAGAACTATGAGGTCTCAAGTTCAAATCCTAGCGGAGGCAAAAACACTAGATGATTTCTTTCCATCTCTCAAGCCTTAGTGGATAGATTTACTTGGTACCTGTACTAGTGGGATGTAACAAGTACCCCGTTGAATTAATCGAGGGGCCTACAAGTTGGCCCAGACACCACTGTTACCAAATAAAAAAGAGAATCCTTCGAGGATTGACAATTTCTTTTCTTAAGTAGTACGCCCAGAAAATAGGAACTGGCTAACACATTGGGATGCAAAGCTGAAAGAGTGAATAGGTTAAAATCCTCCTAAACTATCATCAGCGTGAGTTTCATACCTAAACTACTGGGTGTTCACAGAACCCCTGAACTACTATGAACTCATACTAAAATCCCCCCACCCCCGAAAGAATATGACAGGCTACGTGAACATCATGCTCCAAAAGCTCTTCCAAGGAGTTTCATGTGGCAGTACACATGGAAAAAAATTTGAGTGAATGGTTAAAATTCCCTAAACTACCATCGTTTTATTAGTTTCATGCATAAACTATTGAGTGTTCACGGAACCCCCTTGAACCCATTGTGCCAGGTGTACTCCTTTTTAAGACCTTTTTCATCTCCCACGCGGCTCTCAGGAAGTTATCCTAAATATTTTGCTACATATTCAACTGGCGGATTTTTAATTAAAAGAAAGTTATAGTCCAGGGTAACAAGAACATCCAATGGTATAGGTGTTAAACTCGCAAAATGGTGATAAGGTTAGGGTTTTTTAAAATATATTTACGCAAGTTAAAAAGTTCCCAACTAATAATTAATGAGCAGTTCAATACTTGAAGAACAACTTCTGAAAAGTGCACCCAAAAGGAGAAAAAGAAAGAGAAAAAACATTGTAGTACTTAGCCAGATGAATATACTACTCTATAAAGTTCATCCTTGATTTAGAAGGCTTTTTATCTGATATTAAACATGTTCTGTCACGATAATGTGAATTAAAATAAAAAATGACCAAAACATCACCATACTTGCACCAAGTCATTTCCCAGCCTCTCAAGAAAATTATACAGTTGGCAAGTGAACGCAATTTTATGACTGAAAAAATGTACAAAATCATCAATCGGATTTGATATCGAGCCAGCACTTCTGACAGATGACTACTTACCTCGTGAATATCAACCAACTTATACAGTTGCTGCACCAACTTGCTAACTGACTCATCAGTACCAGGAACAACTGTTGTAATACGAGAAAGCCCTTCAACTTCAGCATGTCCAACAGCTAAACTCTGGAGAGGAAATTGGAAAACAATTAATTATGAAGAACACCATAATGAGAAGCCAAAAGGATATGAAAACTTAGCTTCTGTTCCAAAAAAAAAACAAATATTTGAACCTACTTGGATGTTATACCCTCGTCGAGCAAAAACTCCGGTGACTATGTTGAGAACTCCAGGAGAGTCATTCACAAGCATTGACAAAGTGTGTGAGCGGAGCCCACTTGTCTGGAAGAATTAAGCCAAGGACTAAAGTGAACATCATTTGTAGGCACTTTTCAAATGAATAGACTATCAGTTGAGACATGGAAAACATGAAGACGTGTAACTCAAGAATGAAAAGACTAGAAAAAGCTGTTCTCAATCTGAAACATCCTTAGAATTGCAGAATATTTATGGGCCATGTTACCATGGAAATTACTCAAGCAAACATTAAGGCAAAGACAACTGAGACAAAAACTAAAATGCAATCAGTGAGAAATTAAGGAGGCAAAGCTGCAGCTTTTTAAAATAAGCAAATACAAATTCAAGTTAACACTAGGTTTTTGCCAGAGGGCACAAACCAAGTTTCATATATTGTGCATAAAATATTTATAGGGAGAGATTTAAATGGCCTGACAGGTAAAGATAGCGAGGACATTGAACAAATCCATGGTGGTTATTGTTATAGTACTAGGAATAAACTAAGGGAAGGCCACATTAGAATTTGCATTCTCACCTAATTACTTGGGGGGGGGACCCATAGTCAAACAGACTTTATCCTTACAAGAAGACAAGATAGAAGTATATGCAAGGATTGTAAGGTTATTCCGGGAGGAGTGATGACCACCCAACATAGGTTAATAGTCTTAGATACAAAGCTTAGGAAGAGAGTGAGAAAGGTCAAAGGTGACAGATTAAGTTTCAGATATTGTGCTTACAATCTTCATTGGAGGAGATATTAATGGCCATGTAGTTAAAGGTAGAAGCGACTTTGAACCCTTCGGGGTGGCCAAGTGGTTTGGATTTGGGACTTCCATGTTAGAGGTCTCAAGTTCGAAACCCCTTGCCAACGAAAGCAAGGGGTTTGCCTTCTGGGTCGAGCTCGTCGCACCGGGCTTGCCTAGTGCGGGTTACCTCTCCTATGTGGTTTGCGAGCTATTGCATAGGAGCGGGGGTTTTACCCTGTGCGCACCCAAAGGGTAGCGGCTGCGGGTTTCCCTTGTCATCAAAAAAAAAAAAGGTAGCAGCGACTTTGAATAAGTTCATAGTGGTTATGGTTACGGTACTAGGAATTACGAAGGGAACACTATATTAGAATTTGCTTTAGCTTATGATGTAGTGGTAGCTAACACATATTTTAAGAAGAGAGATTCTCACCTAATTATTTATAAGAATAGGGGTAACCATAAATTGAATTTATCTTTACAAGAAAATGAGAATAGAAGTATATGCAGCTGTGGCAGATTTTCCTTAATCTCAGAGGCATATCTTGGTGTATGCCTAGCAAGATTGATGAGACTCTATTCAGTTGGGAGATGGCTGGAGTTGGGGCTACAAACAGAGAAAGATGGAGGATGATCCCTGCTAGTATTTGGTGGACTATATGGAGGGAGAGAAACGAGAGATGTTTTGAGAATAGGAACAACAACTTGCAGGAAGTAAAGCTTAAGTGTATTTTGTTGTTCTGCGTTTGGTGTACAAATGTCTACTCCAATGAAACTGAGTCAATCATAGATGTTTTAGGATCCATTTAGATTTGGTTCAGTTTTTGGATAGATTAGACTTCCTTTCTGCTTTTGTAAATATGGTTTTTCAGTACTACCTAAGTACTAAATGAAATACAAATGTTACCAGTTTCAAAAAAAGAATAGAAGTATATGCAAGGACCGTACGGTTATTACATGAGAAGCAATGACCACCTAACATAGACATGAAGATTAGGAGTAGAGTGAGAAAGGTGATGACTTGCAAACAACTGCAAATTAGGTGATGGGCACTAAAGGGCGCTAAAGAATTATTGTTTCAAGAAAAATACGGGAGAGGGGAGCTTGGAACTTCGAGGGAGACATAAGAAAATGTCAAGTTGCATTAGAAAGTAACAACTGAAATGCTAGGTGTGCCTAAAGGTCTAGGACCTCAACCACATGAATCCTGGTGGTGGTATGAGAGGTACAAATAGTTATTAAAGCTAAAAGTGAGTGTTAGAGGAAGTTTCCAAAGGCAAAGGACGGAGAATCCTTAAAGAATACAAGAGACCTAAGAAGGAAATTATAGTAAATCCCGAAGGGAAGTTTTAGATGGCTTGTATCAAAAGCTAGGAACACAAGAAGGGGAGAAAGAAATGTTAAACTAGCATGACTAAGAGAGAACACTATGTGTTTCCAGAGAATGGACTACTGGTGAGGGCAACAGTTCTGGTGGAGTTGGAGGATTTGGCAAAAAATGAGGAATCTAGATGGAGGCAAAAGTCCCGAGTTCTCTAGCAAAAACAGGGGATAATAACACTATGTGTTTCCAGAGAATGGCAACAGCCCACAAGAGATACAACAACATTGATAGATTGATAATCAATGGGGAGGAAGTTAAAGATCAAGAAGCTATCAAGGTTAATATGACTGAGTTCTAAGGAAACTCTATACTGAATCTGAGATGTAGAGGCACTCTTTTGAGTATGTTAATTGTCCAAGAATCTCCCGGGAGGAACAAGATTGGCTGCAAAGTCCTTTCAAAGAAGAAGAATAAGAAGAAGAAGAAGAGCTAAAGATTATCAAACAATGTGATGGGGATAAGGCCCCGGGCCTGATGGCTACACCATGAGCTTCTTCAAGGTCTGTTGGGCAACCTTGAAAGATGATTTGATGCAAACAATTCAAAATTTCCATCAGAATGAAATGTTTGAGAAATCGTCAATGCCACCTTTATAGCACTAATCCCCAAGAAATATGGAGCAGAAGAACTGAAGAACTTCAGACCAATAAGTTTGATGGGTGGAGTATACAAAATCATAGCCAAGCTCCTTACAGAAAGAATGAAGACTGTCATGTGAGAATTGGTAGATGAACACCAAATGGCATTCTTGAAAGGAAGACAGATCATGGATGCATCATTGTTGGCCAATGAATTGGTGGACAGTAGGGTGAAGCAAAATCTAGTTGGAGTCCTATGTAAACTTGATATTGAAAAGGCCTATGACCATGTCAATTGGTCATTCCTTCTAAACAATCTGAGAGACATGGCTTTGGGAACAAATGGATAAACTGGATCAAAACATGTATATCTACGGTGAAATTCTCTCCTATCATCAACGATAGTCTAAAGGTTTCTCCCACTCACAAAGAGGTTTAAGGCAAGGTGATCCAATGTCACCTTTCTTATTTATCTTAGCCATGGAAGGCCTCAATCCTATGATCAGAAGAGCAAGTGAGAATGGGTGGATAAGAGGCTTCCCTGCAAATGCTAACAAGGGAAATACTATGGAAATCACACATTTGTTATATGCATATGACTCCTTCATATTCTGTGAAGCTGAAGTAATGCAAATCAGGCACTTGAGGGCTATTCTAACCATTTTTGAGGGAATCTCAGGTTTACATGTTAACTAGCATAAGAGTTGCATGTACCCTGTTAACCAAGTTACCAATATGCAAATACTTGCTGAGAACCTAGGATGCCAAATGGATTCCTTACCAACTAAATATCTTGGAATGCCTCTTAGTGCAAAAAATGAAGAGGTGGAAGTATGGAGTGAAGTGTAGGAAAGAAGTTAGAGAAAGTTGACAAGATGGAAGAGCCAATACCAATCTATGGGAGGCAGATTAACTCTCATAAAGACAGTAATGGATGCTCTCCCAACTTACATGATGAGCCTATTCTCAATCCCAGGAAGCATAGAGAAGAAAATCAACAAACTAAGGAGAGTCTTCTTATGGCAGGGGAACAAAGAGAAGCTTGGGTACAACCTAGTCAAATGGGATGAGGTGACCCTCAACAAAATACAAAGGGGTATGGGGATAAAAAAGTTGAAAGTACAAAATGTCAATTTGTTGATGAAGTGGCTTTGGAGGTTCTGTATTGAAGATTTGGCATTATGGAGAAGATTCATCTCACATAAATATGGTCTTCAAAATAATTGGAAAACTATTGGAAGACTATGGCCTCCTTTTGCCCCCAATATATCATTCAAAATTGGAGATGGGGTTAAAACTGATTTTTGGAATGAAGAATGGATAGGGGATAGGGACTTGAAAACCTTATTCCCAGATTTATTTATTCGGAGTCTACAACAGATGGCCATAGTGGCACAGGTATGGAGCCCTCAAGGGTGGGACCTGATTTTCAGAAGGGCTCTAAATGACTGGGAGATTAGTAGAGTAGCTGGACTGTTGCAGGTGTTGAATCCATTCCCAGGTGTCATAGAAGGACCTGAAAGACCAATATGGAAGTTCCCAACAAAGGGAGTTTCATTGTGAAGTCTTGTTACTGAAATATGAACCATAACCTGAGAATGAGAATGGAGTGTCCATGGAAGTTAATCTGGAAGATCAAAATCCCACAAAAGGTGTCATGTTTCTCATGGTTGGTGATCAGAAAAGCATGTTTAACTCACGAAAAGTTACAGAGAAGAGGTATACAGATCTTCTCAAGGTGTTATATGTGTGATAAAGAGGCAAAGATTAACAACCACTTATTCCTACATTGCAAAACAGCTGTAAATCTGTGGCACATGTTCTTAAGTATACTTGGAGTTAGTTGGGTAATGCCAAAAACTTCTTTAGACATGTATAAACACTGGGTAGGAATGAGCAGAAGAAGAAGATCAAAAGAGGACTGGTGGAAATATATTCCAGCTTGCATCTGGTGGACACTTTGGAAGGAAAGGAATGAAAGATCCCATAATGGGCAAGCTAGCAGTATTCAGAAGATCAAGATGATATGGTGGGGGAGGTAGTAAGTCTAGTCGACTTCATAGGACAATTGTAAAGATACTTTTTTTTTGGGGGGGGGGGGCTGGTTATCATGATGCCCTCTTGGGGTTGTAATTCCCACCTCATCAATTTTTACCGAATGAGTTTTTTGGTGTGAATACATAGTTACCTTATCAAAAAGAAAAAAAGTTATCCTTACTTGTGGATGGAATACTAATCCGTGGATAAGTTATCCCAAGATAAAAATGCAAAATAACAAAAGTACCCCCTTAAACCCTCTTTTAATCATCACTTTAACATTCATGTATATTCAAAGAATTTTTAATACCATTTATAATAACATTCACAACCTTCACTACTCGTTATTTTTATGATTATATATTTTCCCGTTAAAAATTTACACTATATAAATATAATTTTAATTTATGAATATATCATACGTTGAATTTATTTGACTAAATCTTAGAGTTAAGGCTCAAAATAGTCCCTCATCTTTGGGTTAAGGTTCAAAGTCATCCTTGAGTTTTCACATGGAGCACTAATAGTCCCTCATGTTTGCAATATTGGTGCACTTTTGGTCCTCCCCTAAATTTTTGCCTATTCTTTAACATTAATTTTGTTCACAATTTTATGTAAGGAATGTCCAATCATCTTTTCTTATATTTAGTAGAAATAATAACTCTATGTGAGAGAAGGTGATAAGAAGAACACCTTGTTCTGTTCAGTAGAAATATTACTGCAGTTAAACTAAGAACATCTTAACATATGACGTTGGAAGAAAAGAAAAAATTTGTACTATTGCACGTGAAATTATCGTGATGAACCTCTCAACTTTACCAGCAATACGATTTCTACTAAATTTTTCTTCTCATATTCTCTCACATAGAGTTATTATTTCTACTAAATACATAAAAAGACGATTGGACATTCCTTACATAAAATTGTGAACAAAATTAATGTTAAAAAATAGGCAAAAATTTAGGGGAGGACCAAAAGTGCACCAATATTGCAAACATGAGGGACTATTAGTGCTCCATGTAAAAACTCAAGGATGACTTTTAGCTTTAACCCAAAGATGAGGGATTATTTTGAGCCTTTCCTCCTAAATCTTATGTTTATTTAATTTTGATTCCTCTTAAATGTCCATTTCACTATTAAATTACATATTTTTAATCAAATAGTCTTTTAATCACTTGAAAATTTGTGTTTATATATCAATTAAAATGAAGATAACTTTGATATTTTACAATATATAAGTAATAAGTGCTTAAATGAAGTGACATCAACAAGAAAATCTTTTTTACTTTAACAAATTTAAGATGAAAGTTCAATTTTTAAGCTAAATAAGATGTAAAATTTATTTTTAAGAGTGAATAACCAAGCTTGCAAAGAAAGTTAAAAAAATTAAATAAAATGGAGGATATTTTTGTAAACAAACAACTTATTCTTAGAAATTATGCCATGCATGCATGTTATTTGAATATGACAAACCAAACAACCAAATCAAAAATAATCTCAACATAACTAATCACATCATAACTTATCCTAGCATAACTAATCCCAGCATAACTTGTCTTCAAATCAAACGACCCTGAGGGTTTTAGGATAGAAGTAATACTAAATATATGCATTGAGGGTTTAGTCAACATGAGAAGAGAGAAATTGAGGTGAGACTAGACGGGATTCCAGTGCCAAAATGCAAACAATTTAGATATCAAGGCTCGCTATGTCGAGAGAATGGAATGATAGATGAAGGTGTTACTCATAGGATTAAACTCAGATTTGAAATGAAGAGGTGCTACCGAGATCCATCCTAATCTCAGTGATGGCAAAGATGAAAGATCTAAATTGTTCCTTCCTTTGATTCTTTTATTTGGGAGCAAAAGTGATAAGCCTTCCATACAATATACAAGGATAATGTAACTGTAAAGGCATGTTGCTTTGATTTTCTATGAAAAATTCAACAAAAAACCCTTCCTGCAAAAATGCACAATTAGGTTCATATCCTTTATAGGTTATAGCAAAACAATCATGTGATTTTACACGATCTAGAGCCGAGCAACATTGTTGTCAAATGCCATCAACTCAGGACAAATTCCGTAGAAATGTTGAATGAAAAAGGATGTATACATCAAATCCTCACAAATGTGTAAAAAGATTCATCTAGAAAGGAACAAAGGCACCTTTGAGGAATAGTTAACCACTTCTTACATCTTCATCATTGAGAACACCCCAGTGAGCATCAAGAACTTGATTGACTCCAGAGTTGTCATCTGTCTCGACAGGATAAACATCTCCCTTCATTTAGCAAAAAAAAAAAAGAAGTGCATACAAAGTGAGAAATTCAGGCTATTGTTGGAGGAGGGGAGGAGAAGAAAGACATTAAAGGGTGTGCATTGACTATATGCACCATCTCAGGTTTTAATAAGATGCATTTTGTGGAATTGATCTTTTCTCTAGACAATTCTTTAGTGTATACTTCTAGTATAAAGGACTTTGATGCAAGAAAGTTTACTTATGAAAAAGTAATATCTATGCAAAAACATTTCACAAAACTATGTTAAATAAATAAAACAGATACACCTATGTTCTTTTTATGTTATTGAGCAAATTTGTTTTCACACTCATGACTATTGCATGACTTTCTTTTTTAAGCATATCACAAACATAAACTGATTTCTGATAATTGAAAGAAAATGACTCGTATATAATTTCAACTGAGTAGAAGAATTCCGGCCTCGCCGAAAGTTACCAGCTAGCAATTGGCTGTGTGTGAGGAGAATTGTTAGTTCATGAAAAAACAAATCATATATTGCTACAAAGAAACAAGCAAAGTCCATTGAAATTGCATACCTCAGCCATAGACATAGATTCTCCAAGAGGAGTCTTCTTGGTTGTCCCCGAAACAGTATTAGCAGACATCGCAACTTCAAGATCTGGGTATGATGCTGCTGAAAACCGCCAAAAAGGAGCAGATTCCCCCATCTTTTCCCTTCTCAAGGCAATCTAAGTTTTAACCAATCAGGTGAACATTGATTCCTTGGAAAACAAATTTAAATAGCAAATATAAAAAAAAAAATATGCTACTCAAAACTTCGAAAGATTTCCTTCCAGGTACCTTCCCAGTACGCGCAATTTCTCTAATTCCAAATTTACTTAAGTTCCTCTGAACAGCCACCATCTTCCCTGGATCACCAGTTACCTGTATTAATGATGACAAGCATCTTAAATGCAGATTTGACTTTGGCTCAAATTTGTAACTATTTCAGCCATGACATGCAGGAGAATTAATGCTACTTGCAACTACTAAGCATTGAGAGAACCACAATCTGTCCGTTCAAAAGTGTTGTTAGCAAAACACGTCAACGCTTATTGAGATCAAAAAGACGAAATCTTGCTAAAACTGCTGGCCCTTCTGCAGTTCACTCATCCATGACTAAACACCATTGACATAAAATGAGAGCCTAAAAAAATCTTTTGGGCAAAGGGAAAGCAGGGTTGCGTGTTTGTAGATTAGTTTTCATGATTTTTCTTTTCCCCAATTCTAACTCCAAATAACTAGAAACCATAGTCTCAACTTTTCTTCTTTGGTAAAATATTACTATCTTGAGATATAAACTATATAACACATTGTTTTTTCATTACTTTGTTGAGTAATATATACAACACAAATTTCGTCGACATTGGCCCTCTGAGCTTTCCCTGAAATTTACTTATTTTTCAGAAGAGGTGAAAGTCCCCATACTCGAAGAAGTACGTGGTGGATGTACTTAGAAAAGCACTACGCATCGTTGAGATAAATACATGTTGACCACATGAAGACACCGGAAATTATGGCACAAGATGATGGAAAAGCATCAGAAAATCAAAGGACCCAACTTTGATTTATCCTACATGCCTAAGCCTTGGTGGCGGAGTTATCCAATTTTATGTATTGAAGATGCAGGTAATAATTGAATGGTTGAGGTGCAAACCGCACCCAAACATCAGTATTATTGGAAAAGGGGATGGAAATAGTAGATATAACAGGAGACTGACATATGATCTAATAAATCAATACTAGATGTTATTTGCTTCATAAGAATAGAACTTACTGCTATCAAATGAAAGAGCTTCACAAGAATTAGGACTAACCTTGATTATCAGAATTCATTTGGAAAGAAAAATGAAATTGTCAGCACTGCGAGATATGATCTATTTCTTTTTGATAAAGAGATATCACCTATTTATTGACAATAGAACAGTAGATAAATCTTATGTTGACGTCAGATTTTTATCTAATTGTTTTCCTTTTTTCTCTGAACATTGATTTTATCAAGTGTTATCTTTGGTTAGAGATCAGATTCTATCTACTAACTTGGGGTAGTCCTTTTCATTAGTTACACATAAAGCTTTATTTATTATAGTAAAAAGGATGAGGGTCTGGGAATCAGAAATCTTAGGCTGCAAAATGAGAGTCTTCTATTGAAATGGTTATGGAGATACATCAATGAGGATAAGGCTGTGGAAGGAAGTCATTGTGTCTAAGTATGGTGAAGCTAACCCATGGTGCACGGAAATGGTAACTGATACCTATGGAGTGGGAGTATGGAGAACAATTAGGAATTTATGGCAATTAATGGAAGACGATATTTGCCTCAAGGTTGGCAATGGAGCAAAGACAAAATTTTGGAGAGATAGGTGGCTTGATCAAACTCCATTAAAGGAGGCTTTCCCTGACCTATTTCTTATTTGTGTAAACCCTGAGGTGACAATCCAAGAGTGCTGGTCCACACAGGGGTGGGATATCTCTTTTAGGAGGCGTTTAAATGATTGGGAGATAGAGAGGGTAGCACTGTTACTGGGAAAAATAGGGCAAGTTTCTATTAGCAGTACAGAGGTTGATATACCTCTTTGGAAACACAATGGTAATGGGCTATTTTCTGTAAAGAGTGCCTACACAAGAGGTCTCCAGGTGACTAATACAAATACTCAATGCAAGTGGAATTATTTCTGGAAAAGCAGCATTCCTACCAAAGTTAAGTGCTTCACTAGGTTGGTTATCAAAAGGGCCTGCCTAACCCAAGAAGTGCCACAGAAGAAGAAAAGACAATTGGTTCCTAGGTGTTTTCTGTGTATGGTGACTGAGGAGACAAACAACCACCTTTTTTTGCATTGCAAGTGCACTGCTCAGTTGTGGAATTTGTTTCTCAACATTACTGGCTATAGCTGGACCATGCCTGAGCATACAGCAGACCTTCTTCTTAGCTGTTGGATGAGAAGAGGGGGAAGTAAGAGCCAAAAGAGATGGTGGAGATTGATTCCCTCATGTATATGGTGGTCAGTATGGAGGGAGAGAAATGCCAGATGTTTCGATGATAGGTCCAATTCCATTCATAAAGTCAAATGGAATTGTATTGTATCTTTACTTTTTTGGTGTAAACAGCTATGTATAGAAGATACTGATCAGATTATAGATCTGATAGGGAGTCTACAGTTTAACTTTTTGGTGGTGGCAAGCATATCCTTAATGCGGAAGAATGCAAACTTACCAGTTTCAAAAAAAAAAAATATAGGGGTTCTGACTATTTAGAGTTCCTACTCTATAATAAGACCTTTTCATACTTTGTTTGGATTACACTTGAATAATAGGCGAATTGATATTGGTGAAAATATCCCTCTCTACTCTCTTTTTACCAAAAAAAAAAATCTACCTCTGTATTCTCTCTTACTATATTTTCTCTACTTCATTTTCTCCCTCTCTCTCTCTCTCTCTCTCTCCTCTCTATTTCTTTTTTTTTTTTCTATTCTCTCAGTTATCCTCCTTTTCCTCTATTTCTCCGGTCTCCCTTCTAGCCCTGCATTAGTAATTCCCTAACAGAGTTACATTACTGAAACCATTTTAGGTATCTATGTACAAAACATATGTCTAACATTTGATATCCAGTTCACAAGCATCAAGTTCAAGAAAGAAAAAGATGGATTCTGATCTGTCATCAAACATCACCTCAATAGTCAGTGAATGATCAGAGATATCCACAATTTTTGCCCTGAAAACGTCCACCAACCACATAACCTAGTAATGACCAAAAGATTTGGATCAATCATCACATAATAGTAAAACCTTAAAATGGTAAATGTTACTCAGATGACATATTAGAACCAAGAGACAACAGTATAAGAACCTCCGCACGGTATTTCGGATCTGCGTTGATTTTGATAAGCATTAGTTCACGTTCAACTTGTGGCTCCTTTGATAAATCTTCAACCTGACCATCAATTTTTAAAGAATAAACCAAAAACACCAAATAAAAAAAGAAAGTAGAGGAGCAGAAAAAAGAAAAGCATTCATGTTACACCACCTAAAGCTTGAGACTTCAGTGAAGGCTCTTTAAATAATAATATAAATTCTTTTATCAACAACAACAACGCCACAGTCCCAAACAAGTTGGGTGTCGGCTATATGAATCCTCACTGACCACATACTCCCTTTAAGCTCTTAAACTCAGCTGATTGAATCATAAATTAGTGCAAGTACCAAAGACCGTATTTGTAACCAAAGCTGAAACCATTTCCATGATTTTGAGTATTGAATATCTTTCAGCCATTAAACAACATTTTTCAGAATAGCATTGGCACGTCCAATCAATTGACACAAATCTACAGACCAGAGAAAATTTAGACTCAAACATTAATGCCATCACTTCAATTTAGATACCATATGAGACAAACAATTCAACAAACTAGCAACATGTAATATGCATTACCAAAGGGGTGGATTTTGCTAATACAAAAACTGGTAACACCGTACTCTAACCTCAATTGAAGCATGCAAAGATGTTAATTTGATCCAAACTAATGGTATTAAAAACTATACATCCAAGACATTAGTATGATTCACCAAACAAGTGGTATAAATGCATATCCACTTCATTTTTTATGACAAGGGAACCTGCAGTCACTATCCTTCAGGTACCCACAAGGTAAACCCCGCTCCAATGTAGTAGCTCGCAAACCACTTAGGAGAGGTGAACTACACTAGGCAAGTCCTGTGCTACGAGCTCGAGAAAGCATGCAGTGGGTTTCAAACCTGAGACCCCCAATTTGAGAGATCCCTTGTTCAACCAACTCGGCCACCCTTGCAAGTTAATGCATATCCACTTCATTATTCCACAATAAAGTCTAATTCTCTTGTTACAACCTAAGCCCATACTATTGGGTCATGCACCAGACTACTCCTAAATGGTCGACCTCACTAGTTCTAGTTCAAGGAACCACGATCCTGAGTACTTAATCAAACAGCTTATAAATTGAAATACCATATGAAGATCAAAATTATCACCTTGATCACATTAACGAGCTTTTGTAACTGTTCCATAACTTGCTGTAACACCCTTTCAGTTCCAGAAACCACTACAGTAAAAAGAGCCTTGTCCTTGTTTAGACCAACAGCAAGAGACTCAATATTATACCCCCTTCGAGCAAAGACTCCCGCAATACGATTGATCATTCCACTTTCATCACCAACAAACACTTGGATAGTATGGCGCCTCACACTGTAATCACATTCACATACATTTACACCAGCAATTCAGTATTCTAACACTCACTTTGAGCTTTTGAAAATCACTGGAAATTAATAGTAGATGAAAATATTACACTTGTAATAAAAAATTATCTTTTTAAATAATAGAAATGTATTGAGGTCTAATTTGATTACTTATACGATTAAATTATATAACTTGTGAAATTGTTTAAAATAATGTCAACTGTGGCTGGTAGCTAACATCTCAAAACATTTTTACAGAGATTGTTGAAAGCAGAAAAATTTGACCACCATGTCCAGAAACCTTTCTGATATATAGTTTTCAATCTAATCTTTGTAAACTATAAACTTATATAGTTTTAAGAATAAAATCAAACTGATTTTCTGATCAGACCTGGAAGAAATTTAAGCGAAGAAAACGTACTTTGTTCTGGTGGATGAATCGGAAGTTGTGACAGAGTGGTCTTCATTTGCATGTTTTTCATCAGCTCTAATGGCAGAAACTACAAGTGTTTTGGAATTTGAAAGGGTGAAATTTGGTTTCGAAGTTGAAAATCCAACAACTTGGGAAAAACCCAGATTGGGAATAGAGGAATAGAGAGAAACGAAAGGTCTATTGAAGGTGGAGTGAGATGAAACAGCCGCCATTAGCAATAACGTTTAGAGAGCTTGGAAGAGGAATGCTTTCGTAATGCAAAGATGATTTCAATTTGTCAAAAAGGGTAAAAGAAAAACTCATTTATTTTTGTTCCAAAAAAAACACTACAATCTCCCTAGGGTCATAACCATAATAATTAATTTGAAATAGATATTGGATTATTTTATTCCATATTTCATTTGGTATATTAGTAAATTTTGGGATTATTTATCTTATTATTTTTTCTAATAATGAATAACTTATCTTATATATATGTGCTAGGATATCTTATTTTGTTTCTAATAATGAAAATAAGTTGTCTTATATATATGTGGTAGGATATCTTGTTTTATTTATCAATTTCCATAACAAAGGACCCCTTATAATTTAAAAAAATATTAGAATCATATCCATTAGTTCACTGATCTTCTTACAATTTAAAAATTCAGTCAATCTTGTTGGAGTGATAGCGTTTGACTAGATATTTCATAGTTGTTATAATGAGGTATTGTAATATATGTATATTGTCATTTGGCATTTAGATCTCATTTAGTTGTTATGTGTAAAACTATGCAACATTTGTTTGATATTTTTGTGTATCAAAAAAGGATTGTATTATTTAATCAAACAAATAAAATGAGTGTGAATGAAAAGGGCAAAAATTGATAGTCTCTTCCCGTGAAGTTATGATCATAACTATTGGGCACTATTTAAATACATTTTGTTCTATTTGTATTTGAATTTTACTATGTGCATGACATTAATAATGATTCCGTAATTCTTTAATATTTTACTCTTATACATAATATTCTTCTATTATTTTTCCTGTTCGGTCATCCTAGGCTTGAACCAGATACATTGGGCTATTACACAATAGTTGAGTATCATTGTACTTGAGGGGTGATTTTATAATGAGTGTATTGCTTTAATGAATGTCGTTGTTGTTATAGGTAAAATATTGTTACAGAGAAGTAAAATATAACATGAAAATTGGTTCAAGAGAAAATTAGATTGTTATATAGAGAAATGTTGTTATAAAGCTTGGTTGTTATAACGAGGTTTGACCGTATTATATTGAAAAAGAGTAAAAAAATATCCTCAACATATCACAAATGGCTCAAAAATGCTCTTCTTCCACAAAAACAAATGCCCTTAATGTTTTTTTAGATATAAATGCCTTTTGTTAACATAAAACTGATACGGAATTGGTGAGTCATTTAATGAAACAAATGACTTCATCTAATTGGTCCACGTAGATATTTAGATTCAACCTAAAAAAATCAAACACATACCCAAACCAAAATAACTCGTTCATGCACTGTTTATGATCTGTTCCTCTATGTTTTTATTTTGATACATAACGTTGTTCTTTGTGTTGTAACTCATCCTTTTTTTTTTGCTTCTTCTTTATCTGTAACAATCTTAAGAATAAAAATTAAACTTATGAAATCTCTTTCATCTTCGTCCCCTTCCCCACCTCCTACCCCAATCCGAAGAAAATGCCACCAAATACCAATATCCATAGAGCCCTACTCCAATTTTAAGTTAATTAATTGACTCCCCTCTTTCTCATCCTAAAGTCGAAACTCAAAGTCACCTTTCATATCTTTATTTTTTCATCTATTATTCTCAAAGTTTATACTAATATAAAACCCAACAAAATTACTTTGTGGGTTTGGGTATTGTACATGAGTGGGTTGGATCTAATAAATCTACTTAGACCAATAAGATAAAGTAATTTGTTTTATTTACTGACTCACAATTTCATGTTATTTTTTTTTTGTTAATAAAGGGAATTTATAGACCTAAAAAACATTGAGGGCATTTTTTACCACTTTATGTATTATATTTCATAACCAAACTAAATTTTAAGGGATAATTACATAGATCTCCCTTAAGGTTTTACTCTACAGCTACACTCACTTTCTCTGTGGTTTACAATATTACGTTTGTCTCCTTTATTTTAATTTTCTTGTGATTATTCTATAACTTATTTAAAATAAAGGTCGATAGCTAATTTAGTCCCTATGTTATAAGTTTATTCCGATTTTGATTCTTGTATAATTCAACTAAGCATTACTAATCTTCAATTAATATAAACATGCGATTTTAATCCTTCAAATTAACGAAAGTTAAAAACATAATATACTCCATTAACTTTAAAATACAGAAAATTTGGCAAAAAAAATAATCAAAGTGAAGGTCAGTTTGATCGGAAGGCTTGCCTCCATTAACAAGCATAATATTGAGGTCGTCATCATCAACAACTCTTCCCCTCCAATGCAAATCATAATCAAATTGGTTAAAACAAACTATATTTTCATACTCGTGTACACCGAAGATTTTCATATGTTCTTGTTCAAGAATCCCCACCAAAAACGGTCTTTTCACTTAACATCTTAAACATTTTTAACCCACCAAAACGTATTCACAAATAATAAAAAAGAGAGACAAATTCAATAAGAAGATATGAGAAAAGCTTTATAAATAGAGAATTTGAATTAAGGACTGAACCTTAGGATCTCACAACCATGTGAATTCCATCTAAGCATCATATAATATATATCATGACACACGTCCATTCTTGAAACAATTGAAAGAAACAACAATATATGGACCAAAACTTAGTTTTTTTCTTCTTTTTTTTCTATATTATTAAAGTTAATTATTCCGTTAAGTTTTTAACGCCCGTTAGTTGGAAGGATCAAAATTGCATGTTTTTATTAGTTGAAGGTTAATTATGCTTAGTTAAAATATATAATGAACAAAAATAGAACAATTCTATAACACATGGACTAAAATTGCTATTTGTTGTCAATAAATCTAATTTTTTTTTTACCAAAATTGAATAAATCTTGTAATGACCCGAGTCAGTTTTGAAAAATTTCATAAAATTATCGTTTTACCATCCCGATAGTTCTCTCAAGCCATTTCTGATCAATTTGTAAAGTTGGTTTCGGAATTTGAATAAAAGATTGTGATTTTTGGAAGTTTTAAGTTTCTAAAAGCTTAAGTTGTTTAAAAGTAATTTTCGGTATCAATCGGAGTTTTCGAGTCTCAAAATGAAATTATGTCGGTTTCATCTGCTCCAAAATATGAAAATTGGTTTGGAGAATCTTCGTTTTCAGGTTCAGGGTTGTTTTGTTGATTTGAGCCCTTGAGTTGGAAGTTTGGATGATTATGGACTAAGGGTTGACTTTGGTCAACATTCAGAGCTCGTATGTTTGGATCAGATTTCTGATGATTTCATTATATTTGGGAGATGATTTTAAACCTAGGAGAGGTCTTGGTTGATTTTTTGGAGGTTTCGAGGGCAGTTTGGTCTTTTTAAGTGTTAAGTTAGTTTATTGTGGATTTCATGAGTTTCGGATCAAAGAGACCTCAAATTCGTGTTTTGATGGTTCTATTGAGTCTGAAACATCGAGTTTGATTGGGTAGCCTTTATGATTTATGTACTTGGGGAATCTGAATGAATTAGTTGGGACTCTACATGGTGTGTTCAGTTCCAATTAGGATTCTTGGAGGATACTCAACCATAAACCCTAGTTCATGCCTATATAAAGAGTGTTATATTCCCTTTAAGAGACATCTCAAATATTCCACAAGTTCATGAACAATTATAAGGAGATCAAATCCAAATATGTCACGATCCAAAGTACACCACAGACGTGACATGACGTATAAGACCCCGAGAGGCCCTACACAAACCACTTAGCATACATCATACAAGATAATAGAAAACAAAAGATCATACAAAAGAGTTTGACAAAAGTGGAAGTCTAAGCATAAGTCTCAAAGTCATCTATTACATCAAAGAAGTGATTGGGACGTAACTCATACATCACATACGAAATTTGCAATATTGGAAATGACATGAAAGCAATAAAGGAGTTTCGGTCCTTGGAACATGAGAATTCACCAATCCCCAATGTCTATGGAGGATCACTAGCCACAAGTATGGAATGTAGGAGCGTCGGACCCTAGTATGGGATGTAGGAGCGTCGGACCCTACATTAGTGAAACAATGTAGGTACAAGTATGCATTAGTACATGTAATGTACTAAGTTTGAGGCAATATGCATAAACGTAGGCATGATGACATAAGTAACTTAAAACGAGTAGCATGATCATAATGGGTTATTTAAAAGCTTTATAAAAAAGATGACATGAAAATCATGAAAGCATGGTCAAGTATATTAACATAACGGACAAAGGAAATGCTTAAAGAAAACTTAGTCATTTTGTGGGATATTTAGCTTTAGCTGACAATAAGACCATGAGAGCTATATCATGGAATCCAGTATATCTCTCATACCGAAAGAAGGGGAAACTACTTGCCAAGGTAGAATTCGTACATATAATCAATTGCTAAAGTGGATCCACTAGCTAGGTCATTTAAAACAATCCTACGGGGCACGTAGTTTGGGACTAGAGATTGCTACTAGAGACTACCATATTTGAGCCTCCATCTCAAAACCCTCTGTGCTAAGTCTAAATCCCAACGGAATAGATAAAAGTCAAATATCATTTTACCATTAGGAAAGGCAATGATCAATACCAATCCACACATTTCAAAATCAAAACATAGAATAACTCCTTAAACATTATTCAACTTAGATGAGAAAACTTTTCACCAATGTGAATTCACTTGTGAGAAATACCTTTCACAATCATGATCATCATAGTAAGTGAGAAATCCTTTCGCGATAACATCAATACCTTCCTTTCAAAGCATCTTCAATTCATTTACAATAACTTCATGAAAACATGCATATCTTCATAAATTCATAGTTCATAGGTTCATCATAGAATCATGGTTGAAAAGTATAATTTAGGCATGGATAAATACAATTTCAAATAAATATCATAGGATAACATCAAATAATGCATTAGAAGATTTAATTAATCATAACTGAACAAAACCACATTCATTGAATTGAAATCCTAACTTGATCAATTGAAAATTGAATTGAGGAATTGAAATACTTAGGGACCCCATGGAGGAAAGGACTCCATGGGTGAATACACACTTTGATCCTTTAAGCCCAAGAAAATGGAGAAATTGAAGACTTGACTGAAACCCTAACTCCTCTTCTTCTTCTTCTTCTTTCTTAGACTCGAGAGAATTTGGGAAGATGAATTTGGTCAAGCACTGGGTTTGGACCGCAGGGAACCGTAGCATGGGGGGACGTCTAATCCTTTTGCCGCCGCAAGGCTGGCTAATCGTACGCAGCAGGCTCGAATACCCCTGGTTCTGGAAGGACCATCTAATTCTCCGGAAAGGATCAATTGAAATCCTCGAATTGTTTCTGCTAGACCAACATATTTCCCTGGAGAACCCTAGAGGATTTAGGAGAATGAGTTGAAAATGAGTTAATTGGGACTAAAACGTTTATATAGGGCTTAGGGAGATAGATAAAATGACATAGTATTGGGTTTAACCAATTAGGAAAATACCCAAAAGCCCTTTTAAAATAATTGTTGAGCCTTACCTACGGACCGTATTGATCAATCGTAAATAGGTTACTGGGACCCTTAATTTAACCATCTTTTTGACGGAATCCATGTACGTTTTGTAGGTCATCCTACGGTCCATACATGTCAACCGTAGGAAGTAACTTTGACCTTCAAAATTTCACAAAGTCTGGGACTCACCTATGAGACCTATTTACGACTCGTACATGGAACGACGGACCATCCTATTGAACCGTAAAAAAGGTACTGGATCTTGACCTAAAAATTTCACTTTCCTCATTTCCTACGGTTGCCATCTACGGCCCGTTGAAGCATCTGCGGTCCATAGGTGGGACCTGTAGATACAGACACCAGCCCAAAAACTGTATTTTTCTTCTTCTCCAAATTCGAGGTGTTACAAAATCATCCTAGTTCAAGAAATGCGCCATAAACGACCCTCGAATCATGGATAAATCTTATGAGAAAAGAATCAAGGGAGGAACATAATTGTACCCATATTGATTTACCAATATATTCATGTTTCTTCATATTTTATTTGTGATTGTAATTTATTTTCTATCACTTTAAAATTTGTTGCAAACAATTATATTCATTTTTATTTATCAACTCCCCTTCCTTATATTAAGATTACTTTAATTACTTTGTTTTAGATTTTATTTAAAGATCTCGTTTTAAATTTTCTAAAAACATTTTGAATGGATGATATCGATTTCAATTTGAAAGGATATATAAAACTTTTGATTTCCAATTTATGTGGCACAAATAAAATTTAAAAAGTCAATCAAACATTTATTTAATCGTAAATTTTTATACATATATTTAAATTATTTTATTATTGTAATTTATAATACATTTTATGTAATTTCTAAATATATAAATTATTAAAAATTACATACTTAAATGACAAAAATATACAAGGAAGGTAATAATAAACTAACAATAATCTATCAATAGTCTCTTAAAAACTCAAAGACTATTACTCCCTCCGTCCCAATTTATGTGACTTACTTTCCTTTTTAGTCAGTCTAAAAAAGAATGACACATTTCTATATTAAGTAACAATTTAACTGTAAAATATCTATTTTACCCTTAATGAAATCATTTATAGCCACACAAATTTTTATCATTCATTTTGGACCACAAGTTTTAAAAATCTTCATTTCTTTCTTAAACTCCGTGTCGAGTCAAACTACCTCACATAAAATGGGACGGAGAGAGTAATAAACACCGTGGTAAAAAATTTGAATATACATTAAAAGTTAAAATATTTAAATTGAAATAAATCATTAAATTTTAGTTCAAATTAGGTGATAAAAATATTAAATTGAACTAAGAAAAAAAGATGACTTAAAATTAGAAACGATAAACACACAAATTGGGACGGTAGGAGTACCAACCAATGAAAAACATTTTAAATGTTTGGGCAGAAGGATTAGGTAAAACAGTACTCATTACAAAACAGCGTTAGTGTCACGTGATTCACATGGAGTAAATATATTAGAATATGAGAACCAAAAGGTTTTGTCCAAATGCATAAATATCCAATAATATTTCAGACTAGTCACAACTTGTGTATCTGTTTCCTTTAGGCGTTAATGGAGGAAAATAAGGTACCATTTCTTACTTCAATTACACCTTCAAAGGCTTCATTTGATGCCGACGAAGATGATATTAAAGCGATTAATGGTGTGAAAAGCTTCGTAAAGGAATTTCATTACGAATCGAAAAAGTTGTGGTACTTAGCAGGACCTGCCATTTTCACTTCCCTTTGTCAATACTCATTAGGTGCTGTTACTCAAATCTTTGCTGGACATGTTGGAACCATTCAACTTGCTGCTGTTTCTATCCAAATCTCTGTTATTGCTGGATTTTCAGAAGGAATACTGGTACCTACTAATGTTTAATCTTAATTTTATTTCACTAGATAAGGGAGAAATCAATCATGTGAATATGGAGTTTTCTTCTTAATTTTGGGGCTAAATGTTGAAAATAGCGAATTGTTTTTTGCGCTTTCATAGTGTTTGGTAATATTCCCCTGTGAGCTATGTTCGGAATTGAGTTAGACTCAAATATCATTTCTTTTTAAAAAAATTGACTGTTTCGCTTTTTTGACAGTTGGGAATGGGAAGCGCACTAGAGACACTGTGTGGACAAGCATATGGAGCTAAACAGAAAGATATGCTTGGAATTTATATGCAGAGATCATGGATAATACTGCACGCAACTGCGCTAGTTTTAATGTTTTTGAATATATTTGCCACACAAATTCTAAGATTAATTGGGCAACAAGAGAAAATAGCGGAATGGGCAGGGCAATTTTCGTTATGGATGATACCAATGGTTTTTGCTTATGCCTTTGAATTTCCTATCATGAAATTTCTTCAAGCTCAAAGCAAAATTATGACTATGGCCGTCATAGCTGGAGTTTCATTTGCTATGCACACTTTGTTAACTTGGCTGTTTATGTTGAAATTGGGTTGGGGTTTGGCCGCTGGCGCAGTGGTTCTAAATTGTTCGTGGTGGTTTATGGTGACTGCAAAAATGATGTATATTTTGTGGGGGAATTCATGTGGTGAAGCTTGGTCTGGATTTTCATGGGAGGCCTTCAAAAATCTTTGGGGATTTGTTAGATTATCTCTTGCATCTGGGGTCATGATATGGTTTGTTACTCTCTTTGGATCAATTTTAATTTATGGTAATGTTGTTTTGTTACCGGGCGGAGCTAGAGCTATCGAAAATATTAAATTTGTTTTGTTTACTACGCAGCTTAGAACTTTGGTATTTCATGTCCTTGATTCTAGCCGCAGGGTACGTTGAGGATGCAGAAATCGCTGTCGATGCTACTTCCATATGGTTTGTTATTCACTCACCTACTCCCACTACTCTTTACTTCCAACTTGACAGAGTATTGTACTACTTAATAATAAAAACTTTAGGAGTGTATGCAATGGAAAGGTGTAAACTATCCAATCAATAATGACACATAATGGAATGAAGTATTAGGGTCTGATTGGTAGGAAAGAATATCCCCCCCCCCCCCCCCCCCCCCCCCCCCCCCCCCCCCCCCCCCCCCCCCCCCCCCCCCCCCCCCCCCCCCCCCCCCCCCCCCCCCCCCCCCCCCCCCCCCCCCCCCCCCCCCCCCCCCCCCCCCCCCCCCCCCCCCCCCCCCCCCCCCCCCCCCCCCCCCCCCCCCCCCCCCCCCCCCCCCCCCCCCCCCCCCCCCCCCCCCCCCCCCCCCCCCCCCCCCCCCCCCCCCCCCCCCCCCCCCCCCCCCCCCCCCCCCCCCCCCCCCCCCCCCCCCCCCCCCCCCCCCCCCCCCCCCCCCCCCCCCCCCCCCCCCCCCCCCCCCCCCCCCCCCCCCCCCCCCCCCCCCCCCCCCCCCCCCCCCCCCCCCCCCCCCCCCCCCCCCCCCCCCCCCCCCCCCCCCCCCCCCCCCCCCACCTTCACCTCGTCAATTTTTTTATTTTTATTTTTAAATTGTTTTTGAAAAATATTTTAGGATCGGAAGTTTGGGTCACGTCGTGGGTCAGATCTCAGGATCGAATTTTGGAACGGTCGTCGATGTCTTATCCTAGTTCGGGTGTAAGGGTTGAGTGTTATATCAATTATCGGGATTGATTTTCAGGTTATGAATTATTTTCATAAAGAGTATTTTCTAGTGTCAAGCAAAACAATACAAGATATTTTTTAGAAAATATTTTTCATTCACCAATCGAACATTAAAAAATATTTTTTACCCACCAATCAAACATGAGAAAATAAGTTAGAAATCCACTGGTTTTCTAAATAAACATATTTTAGAAAAACATGTTTCTTCATACCAAACACACCCTTAATATTATAAAAATTACAATATATTAAATAAAATCTTTTTCTACGACTTCAAGGCTCTAACATTATGACTTTTTGCTTTAAAGGTGGGTTATTAAAAGTGAAGTATTAAACCTACTATGAAACTAGTACTATTTAATTTATAAGTAAAATAGGTTATGAGCTATGAATGTGGAAAAGGGCGATGGATGAAAAAGTAGAATAATAGAAAGCATATCTGGTGAAAGGGGATTTTTATATTTATTTTGGGAAGTCATTGTAGTTGGTTTCCACTATGACATTTTGCAAGAAAAGTTGAAGACAAAATACAAAACTTGATTCACCTACTCATATTTAAAAAATATAGACATTTCTATGTTTGGTCACTTTGGTTAAGCACAAAAATTCAACAAAGGATGAGAAAAAAAAAGAGCAGGATTTTTAAAAGGTTGTTGTATTATTATAAATCATCTCAACATAACAACGACAAATCCAGTATAATCTCATACATAGATACGTGGTATCCAGTATAATCTCATACATAGATACGTGGTAAAGTTTACTGGTGTTCATCTAGTTTTGATTACTAACACGATATGAATTGCAGTGCAAACATAATAGGATGGACATTCATGTTGTGTATTGGATTCAATGCTGCAATAAGGTATGTATGTACTTTTGTCTAATAAAGGAGTAATATTAAACCTAGGAGTAAAGTGTGTAATTATTTTAATTTGTGGATGCAGTGTAAGGGTATCAAATGAACTAGGAGCAGGACATCCAAGAAGAGCAAAGTTTTCAGTGTTAGTGGTGTCAATCACTTCACTTGTAATTGGTGCATTATTGACACTTGTACTCATACTTACACGAAGCCAATATCCACTTTTGTTCACAAATAATGTGAAAGTACAAAAGATGGTATATGATCTTACTCCTGTATTGGGACTTACACTCTTCGTCAACACACTCCAACCTACACTCTCTGGTATGAACTTACACTATTTCTTCATTATATAATATTCCTTCTATCTCGTACACTTTTGAATTGACATATGTATTAAGAAAACAACTATTAACATAGTGAATTTATTATTTTATCCCTATTAATTATAAAGTAAATAAATTAAAAACTTTAGGGTATAATATGTAAAAAAATTGTCCTTTTTTGATTTGTCAAAATAGACAAGTAATTAGAAACAATTAAAAAGGAAAGTGGACAAGTAATTCGGGACAGAGTGACTTTAATACTCCATCTGTTCACTTTTACTTGTCATAATTTGACTTGACACACTTATTAAGAAAATAATTAATGATATAGGTATTTTATCAAACTATCCCCTATTAAATGATGTTTTGATTTTATTTTTTTTAAATAAGTATTTAATGTTGAATGTAAAACATGGAAAGAAATAATTGTCTTTTCTTGATATATCAGAAGTGACAAATAAAAATGAAAATTTATTTTAGAAATAAGTGACAAGTAAAACTGAACGGAGGGAGTATATTGTTTTAGTAAAAAGATACTTCCTTCGTTCCTATTTACATGATGTCTTTACTAAAAATAGATGTTCTTTAATATTTGTCATTTCACACAATTAATGCATAAATTAGACTGTTCTTCCTATTTCACCCTTTGAGAGTTATTACTTATTAGCCTTGAAAGTATGCATTTGATCAATATAGAAAAACTAAGTAATTAACTCATGTTTATTGATCAAATTAATTAATCAAAATATTAACTCATGTTCATTGATTGAAACTTAACTTTAAGATCTATGGGGGTGATAACTAAATAAAAACGGAGGGATTATATATATATTTAAGAGTAAATATGCTTTTCAATTAAATAATGTACATGTTGAAATACTTTTTTTTTAGATTAAATAAGTACTCATTTTGAAATGGGTGAAATTAGACTTTACATCAAGTCATTTCTACTTACTTTATTGGTTGTCCAAATTGTCTACTCACCTTTTCACACTTTGACTATGATTTCCAAAGGAATGAATAGTCATTTCTTTATATTATCAGTATATAATATAAAATATAGCAGCATGTGGATTTTGTAGTCGATCGAAGAATTAAAAAAAAGAAGAATAAATCAATTCTTTATGATATTCTATATAAATGGTATATACTATGAGTATTATAGAAGATAGAAGAATAATTCTTGAAGGAATAAACTAGTTATATATGATACTTTGAGGAATGTTTTTCTTTAAGAAATAAATTAATTATCTACGATATTCTATAATACTTATACTATATACTATATAGTATGTGGTTATCACTCATCACAATATATTATAGTACTAGTGAAATTGTCTGCGCTACGCGCGATATTTATAAATTTATTTAATTGATAAAGAATTGCAAAATAAAATAAAATATATAGATATATATAGGAATAAAAGTGTCACATAGTTTTCGAGGAAAAATCCTTTCATAAGAAAAAAGGGAAAAAAAGAGAATGTGTAACATACAAGTCTTGTAGCCTGTCCTTTGTTACGTATATTTTGTCCATAAATAATTTAATTATTAAAAATTAATAACTGTTATTTAGTTAACATATTTAGATGTAATTTTGATTTTTACATAATAAGATACACAATTAAATTCAAAAGAATTTAGAGAATTTTAGTCCAAGAGAAGGCGATCTTAAAATCAAAAGTAACAATTAGGGGAAGATTAGAAGCGGAAGAAAAGAATTACATGTCATGTTTAAATAAAATCATTAAAAGCTAATATCATAGAAGTCTATACATTAAAAAAGAAAATGGACGTCCGGAAATTGATATAACAACTAAATCAAAGTTGTGTTAATGGAAATAAGATGTAGATTTAGTGATCACAATAATAATTTCTGTTTGTAGTCATTTTTAAATAAATTATTTAATATTCAAAAGATATTTATTCATGAAATTATAGATATATGCCTTTTAAAGAAGGAGATTGGATCAGTACATCATGCTCCCACCATAGTCCTTGAAAAATTGTTTGGTTTGCGGACAAAGTTATTTTGAAATTATAATCCTACCTAAATTTATATCTCAAATAAATAGACTATAAATTAATTTCAAGTTCGATCCTAGATATTCTACCTTATTCTTGTAACAAACGAATGATTTATAACAATTGTCAAATAAAAAAGGAGCGTGAGCTCTAAATTTTCCAACTTTCCACTGATAAGAAAGTCTAATCAAGCATAAAACTTCACATTAAAACTAACTTACACATGCAAAGAAACATATTAAAACTAAAAGAGGAGGAGAAAAACAAATCATATCTAACAATTCATTAATTACAAAGGTAAAGATAAAAAAAAAAAAAAAAATCTATATAGATTTTTTCGTCATGCCTAACTTCATAAGTTTATATATCTAAACAAAAGGTTTAACTAACATGATACCAAGCACAATAAAAACTATGTTTGTACCAAAATTATAAAAAAAATAAAAAAATGCATAAGAATTGCGTTGTATAAATTTATTGAAAAGGAGAAAAGAACTGTCATAAGAATAACGACTAAACATTTAGGCATGTAAATATCAATATTAAATTCTTTCTATATCCTACTTCAAAAACTACCTTGAAATTACTTGTACTTGAATTGAAACAAAAAACAACCAAAATCATCACAACCACATGAAATTCATTTTTTCATGTTTCTCAAAATTCAAAGAGTACACCAATAATCCATAAGTCATATTTCACTAAAAAAAAATAGTGTGGAAGTTTTGGTTGAATTTCTGATCTTTGAAGAGTTTCTTGGTCACTTCTCCTCTTCTTTTGTTAAATATCGAATAAAATCATTCTTCGTTAAGCAAAATCACTCTTTCTTGATCTGAGATTGACTCGCACAATAAAGATCTGAAAAATTTAGCAATACGAAGAATGTTGTTATGAATTTGAGTTTTGAATAGTGACCTTGCGGATTTCTGGACTTTCTGGTTTTCAAAATATATATATACACAATTAAATACTACTCAGTCCTAATTAAAAAACGGACAATTAAATATTATTATTTAATACAGTAATAAAACGGTAGAATGTGATAATTAAGTAGGTAAATGTTTTAATTGGATTGGGGAGAAGGCCCAAAAGACGTCATAATTGGGTTGTTACAAAGAAGAAGGCAAAGAAGAAGGCAAGGGGCTGTTATAACTAATGATGTACCGCTTTAAATTAAGCAATGAATATGTGGTAATTGCTTTCCGTTAGATGGTAAGAAATAGTTATTTTATTTGGTAGGGAAAATATTTTAAAAAATGTTAAAAAAGGAGAAAATAAAAAAATTGGTTTCTTGGCCTTAGAGAGCGCCACATAAGCATGTTTAATATCCAGCTTTATATATATATATATAGATTATATTTCAACAACTATTGATATATTATTTTGATATACGATATGTGTGAAAAGATATATATATATTATATCATCTATACTAAACGTTTGACCATAAATATTATTCACTTCATTTTGAAATATTTATTCACTTTATTCCGAAATCTTTGCTAAGGAAAATCAACTTTACTCTTCTTCCTCCGATCCTCAACTCCTCTTGGGCGATGTTACAAAAACAGAAACATTGCTTTATGTGGTTGCTTTTAATATTTAATAGTAATGTTGTTTACTTTTTGTATTATAAAAATTAAGTTGGATTATAATTTACATATTATGTGAAAGCACAGGGGTGGCAATTGGAGCAGGGTGGCAAGAACATGTTGCTTATGTGAACATTATATGTTATTATGTCATTGGAATTCCTTTGGGTCTCTTTCTTACCTTTTTCATCAAATGGGGCATGCCGGTATTAATCAATCATTTTTTCTCATCTTGATAATATTTTATTTTTCACTTTTAACATTTATATTTTAATGTTTGTATTAATTTAATTATTTTGTTTTCAGGGCATGTGGTATGGGATGTTATTAGGAACTACAACTCAAACAACTGTTCTCATTTGGATAACTGCAAGAACTGATTGGGACAAGGAGGTAATATGATAATATATACATAAATAATATGTATCACATAAATTGAAACAGACGAAATATTACGCAACTCCTAATGTATGCAGGCTTCTCTTGCTGGAGAGAGAATAAAGCAACTAGGAGGAAGCAAAAGCTTGAATGTCATTGATGGATATGCCATCAATTGAGACTCCAAAATGCAGTCAACATTGCTTCAAGATTTTAATGATGGAAACTCATAGAATTACTCCAACTCTTTTTCCACTTTTCTGTTATTTTATTTCCTTTAATCCTTGATTAGTGTGATTTATCATTTGAGAAAGCTTTTTTAACCTAGTTTTGGTATGTTCTTTTTTTTTGTCCATGGTCTTAAATATAGTTGCTCATTTTTATTTATTCAGTTTGAAAAATTAAGAGGTAATTTATTATGGAAGAATATATATTTTTCCTCTTTATTTCAATTTATATGACACGATTTAAATTTTGAGAATCAAACCTTTTAATTTAGATAGTAAATTTGGATATCAAATTTTTAAATATTTTGAATTTAGAACTTACCTCTGTGAAAACGATGTTAAAAGAAAAATTATGCTAGTGTTTGGGTATAAATTTTCAAATACTTTCGGCAAGTTATTTTTGGGTAAAGTTTTTATTGTGATATATAAAATTAACTATGGAATTTATACCATTAACCATGTGTTTAGACATAATATTTATAATAGAAAAATGAAAAAATTGTATGAAATAACAAACTATTAAATCAAATTAAATGCTATAGTCATAGTATATTTAATTGTAATTCGCAGCAAATATCCCATTTTTTTGCCATCTGATTTAATATACAATTAGCCATTTTTATACATTTCGGTATAAAATGTATAAAATGTGTTTTGTGTTTTGTATAAAGTGAGAGAAAAATGTAATATACAAATACAAATACATATATTTTTCGTCCTATAGACTTATAATTATACAAATACAGATCTTATTATACAAATTACAATGTATAAATGAATTTATACAAAACTGAACAATTTGTATAAAATTCGATGTTTGTAGCGAATTATACAAATCAAAAGACTCAAATAGCAAAACATAAAATTTGCTATGGAGCGCAATTATGCAAACCATAGCTATAACATACATATATGATTTTTAAATTTGCTATATGTGAAAGTTGCTCTAGAAAAATTATTTATTCAATTTCAATAAAAAAAATTAATATATCATATATTCGTTTATGTGTCCGTTTATTTATATAGTAAATACTTTAGTGTATAGAGTTTTAACTTACACACAGAGGATTGATTCGTCGATTCTATAAGTATAAAGTTATTTGTTCACAATCTAAGAAAAAAATTGAACAAAGCCTTTGATATAATCATAACACTAAATTAAATAGGAAAAATTACTTAAATACACAACACTTCTTTACCTATTCTCAATATTTCCCTACTCTTTTACTAAAATACAAAAATCCCTTATTTTCCCCCAACAACTTAACCGGATACTTTATTAGTTTAAGTATCCGCCCGTTATTAATTAAAGTATCCGCGCTGCTATATTATGCATCCGTCCGTTAATTAAGTATCCGTGCTGCTAACAACTTAATAATTTAAGTATCCACACTGCTATATTATGTATCCGAAAAACACTAAAAAAAAGATTTTTGGTAATTAATGAAAGAGTAGGGAAAGGAAGTAATTTCTTTCTTATACTATGTCATTTGCCTAATTTTTACAATTAAATATGATTTATCTTTTTCTAAACAAAATTAATCAGGCCCATAATCCATTTATCAAGAAATAAAAAATGTTTCATAGAAAGTTTCAGGCCTAAAAGTGCTATAAAAACCAAATTAAACAAATAAGGGAAAATAATAGTTTTAGTTCATGTGTTATTACCTTATCCTGGTTTTGGTCCTTGTGTTATTCGACTAAATATATTTAATCTTTAATTGAATAAAATGTGTAATTTTAGTCCTTATATCTAACTTGATGTTAACACCGCTAACTTTTGTCTCTTCTTTTTAATTATTCTTAAACAATCCCAACTCTGGAAACTGTTGCCATCCTTTTACTTTTTAAATCTTTTAAGTTAACACTTTTTAAATAATTTATCACAAATTTCCAATAAACTTGTAAAAGTTTGGAAATAAGAACAAATGGAAAAATTGTGATTCAATTATTAGTATATATATCCATGGCCTCGGAATAGCAAAACAGTTTTCTCCTTGCATGGTTGCCATTAACATCATAATATTGATATTCATCAAAGTAGATTATGGTGCAATGATAGGACTTTTCAACCCTTAATTAGGGGTCTCGTGTTCAAGCTCTGAATATGGAGAAAATCCTGTTGGAAGCACCACCCTCAAATATGTCCTGTAATGCGGAACCCAAATTTAAGCAGAGCTCCAATACAAGCATCGAACACCAGGTGAAAAATAAAAAAAAAGAATATTAAATCCGCTAATCGTAGATGTTTTGTGATCTTATTTCTTTTCTTCCGCTCATCTACTAATATTTGAGTGTTTGACTTCAAATTATTTGTAGATTAGAAGAAAAGAGACGAAAGAAGAAATTTGGTGACATTATTGCTTAGATTTTTTTTTTATTATTTTAGTTTTGATCCAAAAAAATATCTTTTTTATTTTTAAAATATCAAAAGTTAACCGTGTTAACTTTAAGTTATGTATAAGGACTAAAATTACCCATTCTATTTAATTAAAGGTTAAATGTACTTAGTCTAATAATACAAGGACCAAAATCACAATAAGCTAATAACACAGGGATTAAAACTATCATTTTCCCAACAAATAAAAAGGAAAGCAACAAAAAAAATATTGCTTCAACCCTTTCATCTACCATTTTGTCCAAGACAAGTTCTAAGCTAGAATCCATAAAGTTTATAGCTCAAAAGAAAGAAACAATGATCATGATTAATGAATGCTTCCCTCCTCCATGAATTGATATTTGGCTATCCAACTGCAAAGATCAGGCTTCAACCATATCTCAAGTCTATCATACATATATATAAAAATATTAATCATTAGTTTTAAAATCATTTATATCTCATATTATTCTCACCAATATGAAATTTATTTTTACTTCAAATCAATTTTTTTTATTATTTAATTAAGGTTTGATCAGTTATATGTTTTTAGAATAATTTTGTGATTGTGTGTTATGCGATTTTATAAACTATTGCTTATTTGATAAAATTGTATAAAGAATTGAGATAATTTTAATAGCTTTACAATTTATAGAATTATTATGTTTATGAAAAATCATACAATATAAAAAGTCAAAATTACATATCCAAATAAAACTTTAACTTCAAATGATGATTTCATATCACGCCAAACAGTTGTAAATAAAATTGGCTTTGGAGTTTGTACCATAAGATAGGAGACTAGAGAGAGTAGCAGATGTTAAATGTGTCTGCAAAAACGATGGTACCACATTGAGGAAATATTCGAATATCAGTACTCAAAAGTTTTGTGAAGAATATTGTGGACCTGTTTGGTTAGGGATGAGAATGGAGGAAAATAAGGTACCACTTCTTACTTCAATTACACCTTCAAATGCGATACATGATGTGGAAAGCTTCATAAAGGAATTCCGCTTCCGGACCTGCCATTTTCACTTCCCTTTGTCAATACTCATTAGGTGCTGTTACTCAAATCTTTGCTGGACATGTTGGAACCATTCAACTTACTGCTACTTCTATCTAGATCCTTGTTATTGCTGGATTTTCAGATGGAATACTGATACCTATTTTCTTAATTTTAGGGGCTACATGTTACTATTAGACTACTTTTTTGTAAGTATCCCAAATCAAATAATTTTGGGCAATTCTCCCCTCATTCATCTAGCTGCTTACAATTGTTTAACATATTTTTTCCGATTCAGTTGGGAATGGGAATCACATTAGCTAGAGACACTGTGTGGGCAAGCATATGGAGCTAAACAGAAAGATATGCTTGGAATTTACATGCAGAGATCATGGATAATACTGAACGCAACTGCGCTAGTTTTAATGTTTTTGAACATATTTGCCACACAAATTCTAAGATTAATTGGGCAACAAGAGAAAATAGCAGAATGGGCAGGGCAATTTTTGTTATGGATGATACCAATGGTTTTTGCTTATGCCTTTTGAGTTTCCTATCATGAAATTTCTTCAAGCTCAAAGCAAAATTATGACTATGGCCGTCATAGCTGGGGGTATGCACACTTTGTTAACTTGGCTATTTATGTTGAAATTGGGATGGGGTTTGGCTGGTTTCTAAATTGTTCATGGTGGTTTATGGTGACTGCAAAAATGATATATATTTTGTGGGGGAATTCATGTGGTGATGCTTGGTCTGGATTTTCATGGGAGGCCTTCAAAAATCTTGGGGGATTTGTTAGATTATCTCTTGCATCTGGGGTCATGATATGGTTTGTTACTCTCATTGGATCAATTTTATAGTGAGTTAAAGTATCATTAGTTATACATAACATAAAAAAATGTATAAAACAATGTACTATTAATACACAAAGCTAATGCAAACATTATTTTTGTTAGTACACTCTGAGTGTGTGTATATAACACTGATACACACATTTGGTCTAGTCAATATTAAAGTGTGGTTGTCAAACTAATGAATTATAGTTTAGAAGTGTTTCTCACACTTCCAATGTAGGTATGAACACAAAAAAGAATAGTAATTAGTTGTGTTTCTCGCACTTTCAATAGTTTAAATATAAAACTCATAAAAAAGAACAATTTAAATATGTTTTTGACATTTAACTCATTTTATGATAATATTGCTAGGTCATTAAATTTGTTTTTGACAAATATTTGCGTTGTTTACTGTGAATGCATGCAGCTTAGAACTTTTGGTATTTCATGTCCTCGATTATCGTGGCAGGATACGTTGAGGATGCAGAAATCGCGGTCAATGCTACTTCTATATGGTTTGTTCACTCACCCACTCCCACTACTTTCAATTTACCTTTTTCCGTTTCAAAAAGAATAAGTATATATATATATATATATATATATATATGTGAAATTTTTTATTTTATTGTTGTTTACCTACAACTGACACAATATAAATTGTAGTGAAAACATAGCAGGATGGACGTTCATGTTGTATATTGGATTCAATGCTGCAATAAGGTATGTACTTTTATTTAGTAAATAATAAATAATATAAAATCTAAGAGTAAAGTGTGTAATTATTTTTATTTGAGCAGTGTAAGAGTATCAAATGAACTAGGAGCAGGACATCCAAGAAGAGCAAAATTCTCAGTGTTAGTGGTCTCAATCACTTCACTTGCAATTGGTGCAATTCTTATACTTGCATT